GGGTCAAATGGTATCTCTATTTGCAACTTTTTGAGAAAGCGCCATACCGCTTTCCACAGGGGTCGCACCATTTTGCACTCCCAGCAACAGTGAATAAGGGTTCCAGTTTCTCCACAACCTCGCCAGTGAACATTAATCCTAACTGAAAAACCACTTCCTAGCCAATATACAAATAGTTCTTTATATCTCCTCCACTGAATCTTTTTCTCATGCATTAAAATTGGATTCAACAACAATGGAAGTCTCTGATATTTTCCCTTATTTTAAAGAAATTCTTTGCCATGATTCATAAAAATTATTTCCTGACCTACACAATGAATCACACATAGTGTGAAAAACAATGATAATGCAGTTTGTACTTTCTGCTTTGTTAGTAGTTTGGATATCAGTTTCATGATTAAATAATAAAATTACTAAATGCATTTTTCTAAATCCAACATTCAATGATTTTATATACATTACAAAGCAGTTCAAGAGGATAGGGAAATAAGAAAGTATAAGATAGAGGCTAGAGAATGGTAGTTTTACTTGGTAGTTGCTTAATTTTATCTACCTTCTTAGCTTGGCTTCCCCCATAATAGAGGCTACAATTCTGGAACAAACTTTCAACTTAACCCTTGCTGATATCTTTGCTCTGTCCACATCTCTATAATCTCCTCATCGTTATCTGATTCCAGCCAAAAGTATGCTTGATATAGACTACATGAAAAGACTTGGTCATACGTTGTTCCATTATATTCTTCTGTGCCAGCCAATTCTTTTTAGTATAGTGACTCTGCATACTCCTTTCATCTTTTTTTGATGCTTCCTGGATCATTCAACATTCTGCCCATAGCATCCATAGGTATTGCAACTTGAGGTTTGAATTTGTTCTTCAGCTCCTTCAGTTTAAGAAATACTCAGCGAGTTCAGGCTTTTGATTTGCTAACTCCAGCTTCTTGCATATTTCCTTATAATACTTTGTTTTCCCATGCTGCCCTTTAAAATCTTCTGTTCAGGTCCTTAACTTCTTGCTTTTTTCCCCTTTCCTTTTGCTTATTGGTGTCCCAGTGCAATGTTCAAAGTCTCTTCTGACATCCTTCTTGGCCTTTTCTTCCTCCTCTCTCTATAATGGTATTTTGCATTCTTCATGAAGGTTATTATTAATAACCTCCCACAGCTCATCTGGTCTTTGCTCATTAATGTTTAAGGCCTCAAACTTGTTCTTGAGATGGTTTTTAAATTCAAGTGGGATAAACTCAAGATCAAATTTTGGTTCTTGTGAATTTAATTTCATTATCTTTAGCTTCAGTTTGAACTATCATATCAGTAGCTGATGGCCTGTTCCACAATCATCACCTGGACAAGTTTTCATAGCGAATATTAGCTTCTCCGACAGTTTATTCCACAGAGGTAATCAATCTGATCCCTGTGTAGACCATCATTAGAGGTAATGGTGATGAAGGAGGAAGTTCAAGCTGCTCTGAAGGAAATGGCTAAAAACAAGGCCTCAGTCAGGAATGGATGACACACTAACTGACATATTTCAACAAACAAATGCAGCCCTAGATGTGCTCACCAGGTTGTGCCAAGAAATCTGGATGACAATTGCTTGGCCAAATGACTGGAAAGGATCCATATTTATTCCCATTCCCAAAAAAAAAGAGGATCTGACAGAGTGTGGGAACTATCCACAAATATTACTAATATCACCAAGAAAAACCCTTCCAAAAGTTATCAAAAAATTACTAAAACGGGTTTTAGAAGAAGTGTAGCACTAGGGACATTATAGCCAATGTTAGATGGATCTTAGCTGAAAGCAGAGAATACCAGAGGAATGTCTATCTGTGTTTCATTGACTATGCAAAGGCATTTGACTTTGCAGATCACAACAAATTGTGAAGAAGAGGATTCCCAGAACACTTAACTGTGCTTATATGAAACCTATGGATGGACCAGGAGGCAGTTATCAGTACAGAGTAAGGTAATATTGCATGGCTTAAAATCAAGAAAGGTATACATCAGAATTGCATCTTATCTCCATGACTCTTCTGTTTGTGGAAGAGATCATTCAGGAGGCTGAACTTTGTGAGGAGGTATCTAGCATCAGGATTGGAGGAAGACCCATCAAGAACTTGCTTTAAGCAGGTGACACAACTTTATTTGCTAAAACTGAGGTGGACCTGAGGCATTTGCTGGAAGGACTATAATCTTGAGAGATTGAGATTGTTAACAATTTCCACCTGCTTGGTTCCACAATCAACACTATTGGTACCAGCAGTCAGGAGATCAAAATGAACCGCATTAGGAAAATCTGCTGTCAGAGACCTCTACAAAGCACTGAAGAGCAATGATGGCTAGAGGCTGAGGTGTACCTGACCCAAGTCATGGCCTTCACAATTACTTGCTATGCATCAGATAGCTGGCAAAAGTCTATGGATGATAGAAGAAGAATCCAGGACTTTGAGTAGTTGTGCTGGAGAAGATTATTGAACATACTATGAACTGCCAAGACAACAAATAGGTCTGTCCTGGACAGGGTGAAACCAAACTGCTTCTTGGTGGCAAGGATTTTGAAGCTCTGTCTCACATATTTTAGGCATGTTGCTAGGAAGGGTCAATCCTTATAGAAGGATATCATGCTTAGAAGGGCAGGAAGACCGTGAATGAGATGGATTGACACAGTAACTGTGGTAATTGGGGTAAGTGTGTCAGAGACAATAAGATTGGCTCAAGATAGGTTAAAGTTCAGAGCTATTGTGCAATGAGGCACAGGTGATTTGGCAGCCCATAACAACAATAATAACATGAAAAGACTTTGGAAGGTTTAAGGAAACAAAGAAAGAAAAGTTGGAACACCCAATTTCTAGCAGTTATCCATTGCTGAAATCATTATCATTTGTGGACCTAAGCATGTTACCATAATCTAGTTGAGAGAGTCATTGGAAGAAAGGGCACTTTGTGTGCATCCTATCTTCATGGCAACATTATTCACAAAAGAAAGAAAACAAGAACACTCCAAATGCCCCTCAGCAAACAAATAGATGGAGGGATTGATATATATTCACACAATGGAGTATTATGCATCACTAAGGAACAATTTTGCAAAATGTTATTGAACATGGAATCCATAAAGCATTATGCTGAGGTAAAGGACTTAGTCACATAAAAACAATACTTTATAAGACTACTGTTACAAAAATAGAAGGACAACTGAACAGGATAGATAAATGATAGATATAGAAGATAGATGATTAGATAGATAGATAGATAGATACATAGATAGATAGATAGATAGATAGATAGATAGATAGATAGATAGATAGATAGATAGGTTGAAAAGGGGGAGCAGAAAAAGGGGAATGATGGAAATCACTAGGATAGAGATTAGTGGGCAGATATGGGGGGGTCAAAGATTAGGAAAGAGTCAATGGGGACTTGAAAAGACAAGGTGCTAAAAGGTATGCATATGAATGATTGTATAAAACACAAGGTACATAACCATAATGTATATGAATAATTGTATGTAAGCCAATTTTTTTTAAAAATCCCAGCTGTGATCAAAACTGTGGAAAGAAAATAAGAGGGGTAAATATTCGAATGTGTGTGCATGAGTGTATGTGTCTATTTCAATTTCTATCTTTTACTATGCTACAAGCTTCATTAGATAAACAAAGTCTGAAACCAAACTTCTCTGACACTTAGATGATAAAGTCCACAGAGGTTAGTAAGCCTTCTAGAGTACAGATCAAGACAAAGAAAGGTTGATTTGACAAGGGAAGTGGAAAATAATCTTTCATTGTCAGGAATACCCTTTAAAAAGGTAAGATTTTTTGTTTATTTTATTACAAAGAGTGTATGTTATTTTGGCAATGAGGGTTTTGGGGTTTTTTGTTTTGTTTTGTTTTGTTAGAAACCCAACATAGGTCAGAAAGTCCCAAAACACCGCTTTGGTAGACTGATACTCATTACTAGTGGGATTTGTTATGGATTATTAGAGGTCCAACTTGCCCAAACACACTACCTAAGAATCTCAAGTCACAACACATTGTGAGGAAATATGGCCTGACTTTGTGATTCTAGAATTACAAAAAGCTCTGATTCAGAATTGGGAGCTTCATCTCATATTATTGTTCTGAGTTAGTGGGTGTCCAACCACAAGGCTCGTGTTTTCTCCAAATCCAGATGAAGTTTCTCTTACTAATTTACCTGATTGGATTTGCCAGAGGTGAGTTCCCTGATACATAAGGGATCTCATTTAAAGTGTTTCAGCCCTTAAAGAAAGAATACCAATTTCTTAGTTACCCTAAGCAATAGGACTTAGAATCAGGAATAGCTGAGGAAAGACCAACTTTAAGAGCACCTGAACCAAGTGAATCTTCTTAACTGTGGCTTTATAGTCAGAAAAGTGACCAGTACTCTACAAGATTGGAAGAAAGTACTAGGAGTTCTCTAGAAGTCCAATGAAAGTTTGTCCTAAGGATCAAAGAAGTCTATTCAGATCCACATGAAACCTTGGAATCTTAAATTAGCCTCATTCCTCAAGAAAGCATTCGTTTCCTCTCACAATTTCTAACATCACCCCCTCTCTTCTGTTTCTTCTATCCTAGAAGCGTCAGGTCAGCCTGATGAGCCTCTCAGCCCTATCAATCAACAAGCTTCAATTCAGCAACTTCCAGGTAAGTATTTCTCACTTGTAAAGCCATCAGATGTGGAGGCTTTATATGAGTCCTCTTCAGGCGAGCATTCCTCAAGTGAACATGCAAGTGAGCATTCTTCTGGCGAGAACTCAACTGAGCAGCAAACTTCTAGTGACCACCCTTTGGCAGAACAGTCTTCTGATGAAACACTTTCAGGTGAAACACCTCTTGGTGAAAAATCTGCTGGGGAAAAGACTTCAGGTGAAAAAGTTTCAAGTGAACAGGCATCAGGTGAAAAATCTTTGGATGAAAAGGCTTCTAGTGAAAAGGCTCCAAGTGAACAGACTTCAGGTGAACAATCTTCAGGTGAAAATTCTTTAAGTGAACAACCTCCAGGTGGTTCAACTCTTGGTGAACCCTCCACTGAAAAGCCTTCAAGTGAACCATCTTTAGGCACATTGTCTTCAATTGCCTCATCTTCAGGTAAGCAACATCTGGATGAATGCCAATCCTTGACTTCAGGTGGGCAGTGAGAAATTTGTCAAGAATTGTGTCAGGAATTTCAAACCAACTCATTCCAGCTCTGCTGCCTGCTGTTAACGTATATTTCCACCCCAGATATAGTGAACTAGAATCTCTATTTCATGTTAAGAATCACTTGGGGATCTTGTTAAAATATAGATTCTTATTTAGTTTATCTGGGGGAAAACCACAAATTTTCAGCCATTGTTGAATCAGAATAAATTATTCCAAAGCCTTCAATTTAGGGAAGAAGCCTAGAGGTAAAAACAGTTACATTTTCACAAACAGCTATCTCAAAGACTCTCTAATCTTTTTTCTTTACATAAAGGGCAGATGACAACAATACCAGGTTTTTTGGGCCCCTGAAACTTAAACCTAAAACATTTGGAGTTATCTTTGAGAAAAATAATATAAATACAAAATGCCAACAGCCCTTTCAACTTCACTTTACTTGAGGCATGACAAATACGAAATAAAACTCCCCTAGAAACAGCTTAGAGAAGTACCAAATCTCTTAAAATCTGTTAGAAAAACTAATAGGGAAAAAAATACCAAAACAACAACAAAAACCCTATTTAGAACACTATAACTTTTCAAGCCCTTATGAAGAGATGTATAGCACAGTAGTTGATGGTTTGATTTTTGAACATGGAAAATAAAGCATGTAGACTCTTTGCTGTTCCAGAAATAAGTTACCAGAATAACTGCAATTTGGTGGCTCTTATTAAAATTGACTTGATGAAGGAAACAAAACACAAAATTTGATAACTAAATAAGTTGTTATTAAACATACTTCCTATTCTCCCCCTTTCAGAGTGTTGTCCTTAGTTTTAAAATGAGACAGGGTTTAAGTGGTATATAATTGCACACAGCTAGAAAATGGTAAACTTTGCATTAAAATCAAGTTCTAACACTAACACCTGTATTATTTATTTCTTCATGATTCTTATTTAAATTTATACTAATTTATTTTCAAAATTTGAATACATTCTTTTTCACGCCAGATCCTTCTCATTTCCCTCACCCCCCTACCCATCAAATTATGTGACCCCATGATTAATCCCCACACACACATCCTCAGCCCTGTGCTTCCACCCTCCTCCGATTTGTATCCTCATACTCATCTACAATAATAGTTTTATATGGTATTTGTACTTATGAGACTGAGTTAGTTCACTCAGCACAATGCTCTCAAGCCCCTCACTATCTGCATGCTTCTTTTTTTTCCCCCTATAATTATATTTCATTAATTTTCATAAACATTTACAGAGATTTGGGGTTTCCATTCATTCATTGTTGCTCTATTCTCTCTACCCTCCTCCCAGTTTGTTCTTGTCCAAATGCCACAGTGCTTGTCAAAGCCAGTTCTGATTAATCTTCTTTGTCAGTGTGTCCTTTGCCATTCCCTATCACTCCTCCCTGAGAGAGACTTCACCCTGAGTCATAAGGGAAAGGGGATGGCGTATTCTCTTAGCTACTTCCTGCTGAAAAGGGACGCTATGGGTTTCAGGGTGAAGATCTTCTCTCACTACTCTAAAGGGCCCCTTTGGCAGTAGGAAACACATAGACTATTATGGAGATTGATTTTGGAATTTAGATTTTGGAATTGATTGTGCTTGGCCGTACATGTTCATATCCTTGAAGATGTATCATGGGGGTGTTGCAACCTAGAAGACACAAATTTGACTAACAAGTTATAAGTACATGAGTCCAAAAATTATGGAAAAGTAAAATAAAAGATTCTTTCATTGTTTTACAAACCCTCCCCCAGGTCCCCTCCACCATGTAGCCCTCGCTCTAGTCTCCTATGATGACAGAAATACCTAGTTATATATCTCTTTTAAACAGTTTTCTCCCTCCTCTGTTTCAGTGCAGTATACATTATTGAACCCATCTTACTCAGTCTCTCCCCAACCCCAAGGACAGTCCCATTCTACAACAGTGGCATCATGTAATATTTGTCCTTTTGTGACTGGGATATTTCACTCAGCATAATGTTCTCCAGAGTCAACCATTTTGAATAATATTGCATGAGTTCCTTGTTTTTTAATGCAGCTTGAACAAGGAGATTGACAGTAGAGATAGTAAATGAGGCAAGAAGATGCAATTGAAAGGAGATGTTCTTTGGGGATAAACTGACCCTATCTGAAAATAGAGAATGATGAAAACTCTTTACAAGATTTGTAATGTTAGAATTAGCATTCAAACACAGCTAATCAATAAAATTTAACTCCAGAGGTGTACACCCTATGATGTGGATTAAGAAAGGAAGTAGTTAAAAAAAGAAAGGAAGTAGTTAAGTGATTTTATTCTTAGTGAGTTACACTTGACAGAAGAACAATTAATTTATCAATGTCTAAGGAGTCTATGGAGATACAAAAAGTGAACATTAGATCATTTTGGGACTAATCATTAATGAAGGTAACAGATGAAGCAAAAATTCCTTTCCTCTCAAACAGGAGAGAAACAATCATTTATCCAACATAGGCCACTCAGATCCTGTGTCTGACCCAAGTAATGAATGTATTGTAGTCCGTCTTATTCCTCCCAAGATGTACAATTCACACCTATATAATTGATTCATGAAAGGATTTAATCATGCCTTTCTTAAATTTTCAGGCACAGGATTAAATTGCCACACATGCTCATACATGAATGAACAAGGAAAATGTCTTCGTGGAGAGGGAGTCTGCACCACTCAGAACTCCCAGCAGTGTATGTTAAAGAAGATCTTTGAAGGTATGTTGGGACAGTCTATGACAGAGATTACATAACCAACTTGAGCTCTACTTCAGGGGTTAGAGAACAATCAAGCTGTGCTTCTCAAGGAAACTACAAATTGAAATTTTGTTCTTTCAAAATTAAGAGTAAAATCTCTTCATTCTGGTAGAATGTAGAGACCCTTTCCAGATCCCAGACATTAACTATCATGTATTCACAGGTTAGCAAAGTTCTGTGCTGGGTTCTCTTTGTCTTCCTTGTGACAAAAAGCTGTTAGCAATCACAAATAACAGAGTAAGAAAAGATGATAGAGCACTAAAACTTTGACACTGGGTGTGGACAATTAACTCTAGAAACTGGTATATTTGTGAAGATTGAAATTAAGGAGGAAATTTGACAACAGGATAAAATAGCCTACCTACTAAAGAAATGTATGAGTTGCCCCTTAGACTATTAAACCTAATGGCAGGACTGTGACTGTCTTTTTCATAACATTATATTCCTAGCACAATATAAATGGAATAAACTAAGAAATATTTACAAGTTTTGTATGTGGGTATATTCTTAGATCTTTCTGTACTTGCATTTCCTCCTTATCTGGAAGGGATCTTGGTTCCTTCCATCTTATAATTCCCTTTGTGGTTGATTGGTCTTATCCCTCAATGGAATGAATCAATTTAAATCTCTAAGATGATGGATAAATAATAAATATGAGAAGAGAGAAAGTGGTATTATAAGAAAAGCATAAAGTTGATAGCTCAGGAGAAGAAACAATTAAAGATACAGGGAAACTACAAGAGATATTCAGAAAATGCTTTAGGGTAACATGTTAGATTTGGGTCAGTAGTTCCTTATCTTAGCTGCACATTATAATCACCTGTGAAGTTTTGAAACATCCTAATACTGAGGCTGTACCAAACAGGTTATATAAGAACCTCTGACTTAATGGAATTCAAGCATAAAAACCTGTTGGAATTGAGGTGTCAATTCTAATATAGTTAGTCTAGATTAAGAACTACTGATTGAGTTATACAGTAATGAATTAAAAAGAATACCCAGAGATAGGAAATTATGGGAGCAAAAATCAGGCAAATTTTTTTTAAACTCAGAAAAATGGCTTTTAAAAGTTTTTATTCTTTTTTTTCTTGAAAAGGTGGTGTAATAGTGAGCATGGATAAATGGGAATTAATTTTCTAAAACACAGTGTAAGGGGGGGGTGAATCATGGAGTTGTGAACTTTAGTGGTTGGAGGGAGAGAGTAAAGGAAATGGCAAAGATCCAGCAGGGTCTTGAAAAGACAGGGTAATGGTGGGCCCAATTCAATGGTGATAAATTTTATAAAACACAATAATTGTATGAATCACAATGTCAATCAAAGAAAGTATACAATGTATACAAATTTTGTATACAAACCAATATAAAATTAAAAGAAAATTAAAAACCCACAATACGGAACACAATGTCAATAGAGCAATGTGTAAAACACAATGTAAATAGATGAAACAATATATATAACTTTTATATGCAAAAGAATATAAAAAATTAAAACTTGAAAATGTGGTTTTTTAATTTTTTTTTAAAGCCAGTAAGTAGAAAATAGCAGTGAGCCTTTTTCAGGTAAAGAGTAAGGTAGTAGGAAGATAAATTTGGAATGATAAGGTGGAGTCATACAAGACTTCTAATATCAGTTTAAAGAGTAAACACGGAAGTGACTTGATAATTTTTTCTACTTTTTAAAATTGTGATTTAACAAAGATTCACAGAAATGTTAGGTTTTTATTCATTCATTGTTGCACTTTTTCTTTCCTCTCCTAGTACACTATGCAATGCACCTCTTGTTCCAAATTGTTGCCGTACATAAAATGTTCAGCCATACATTCCTCTCTGACAGTTCTTCCCCTCTTCTGTTTCAATGCAGTGTTCATTATCTATCCACGCTTTTCCTCCTTTCCTTGACTTGAAGAAATTATAAATTTATACTAATTCTCCTTTACTGAACTGCAATCTATCAAGCACCATCTATGCAATACTATTTATCAGACATTTAAAAATATACTTTCTATTTTAAGTCTCACAGTAATTTTTACAAAGTGAGGGGTTTTTTTCCTCTTAAGAGGAAAAAGAAATCCTGATGGTATAGTAGATTAATGTGTCAGGCTGCTACCAGGTTGATGGTTCTTATCCACCAGTTAGGCTATGAGGAAAAGATGGACAATCTCCTGTCATCAAGATTTGCAGCCTCAGAAATATGATAGATGGCCAAACTTCCTCCACAGCAGTGGCTTATTCTTTAGCTTGGAATAATATTCCCTCTCTTATGTACTTAGCTATTCATTCTTCACAGCCCAGTTTAGTGTCACTGCCTTCCTAAGAACTTAACTGATTCTGTTCTTTGCACAACTAAAGCATTTTAAAAGGAATCATTTTTTTGTTAGCTAATATAGTAAAAACAAGGCTTTTTCATCTTGTTTTATGTAATTAGTCATATTTACATACATCTCTCTGAGTTTTTCAGAGTTAAGACTCTGATACCAATCTTTGTACCCTCCAGGGTCTAGCATAGTTATCATTGTGTGCAGCTGAGACAGCATGCTTTAAAAAATAGGGATCCCGGAGCTCAGGTCCCACGTGCTTTGACAAGCTGTGGCTCTGCGACGCGGCTGGAAGCGGAGGCTTAAGTTAGATAATACAGGATTTCTGACAACCTCCAGCCATGCGTCTCTCTGCCTTGCTGGCCATGGCATCCAAAGTTAATCTGCCTCCTAACTACCAATATGGAATGAGCCAACCGGGCTCCTTGGCAGACAAGAAGAAGAACCCTCCAGGGACCAGGCGGCGTCGGGTGGCCGTAGAACCTATCTCTGATGACAACTGGCATCTGTTCTGTGGAGACACGGTGCAAGTCCTAGAAGGAAAGGATTCTGGAAAGCTGGGCAAAGTGGTTCAAGTTATCCGGCAGAGAAATTGGGTTGTTGTAGAGGGGCTAAATACACATTACCGCTACATTGGCAAGACTGAGGATTACTGAGGAACCATGATTCCTAGTGAAGCCCCTCTGCTTCACCGCCAGGTCAAGCTTGTGGATCCTGTGGACAGGAAACCAACTGAGATAGAATGGAGGTTCACTGAGGCAGGAGAGCAAGTACAAGTCTCCACAAGATCAGGAAGAATTATCCCCAAACCTGAATTTCCCAGAACGGATGGCATCGTCCCCGAAACATGGACTGATGGCCCCAAAGACACCTCAGTGGAAGATGCTCTAGAAAGAACCTATGTGCCCCGTCTAAAGACACTGGAGGAGGAGGTGATGGAGGCAATGGGGATCCAGGAGACCCAGAAACACAAGAAGGTCTATTGGTATTGAGTCTGGGACAGCGCTTCTCCCCTACTTCTCTGTCTTAGCCTTGGAGGCTAGGGCCACCCTCTTCACACACCAATAAAGAGCCATGAGTACTCCTAAAAAAAAAAAAATAGGGATCCTCACCACAACAAGATAAAGGTAAATAATCCAATAAAAAAATGGGCACAGGATATGAACAGACACTTCACCAAAGAAGACATTCAGATGGCTAACAAGCACATGAAGAAATATTCAAAATCCCTAGCTCTAAGAGAGATGCAAATCAAAACAACTATGAGATATCATCTCACCCCAGAAAGAATAGCAAAATTTAACAGAACAGCAAACAACAAATCCTGGAGAGGTTGTGGAGAACCTGGAACCCTTACTCACTGTTGGTGGGAGTGTAAAATGGTGCAACCACTGTGGAAATGGCGCTTTCTCAAAAAGTTACAAATAGAGATACAATTTGACCCAGCAATGCCACTACTGGGAATATACCCCAATGAGGCCATAACTGACATCCAAGCAGATACATACACACCCATGTTTATTGCAGCTTTGTTCACAATAGCAAGGAGTTGGAAACAACCTAAGTGTCCATCAACAAAAGAATGAATAGAGAAGCTGTGGTATATTCACAGAATGGAATACTATGCTGCATTGAAAAACAAGGAACTCATGTAATATTATTCAAAATGGGTGACCCTGGAGGACATTATGCTGAGTGAAGTATCTCAGTCACAAAAGGACAAATACTGCATGGTGTCACTGTTGTAAAACAGGACTGACTTTGCAGTTGGGGCGAGACTGAGAAAGATGGATTCTATAATGTATACTGCATTGAAATAGATGAAGGAGAAAATTGTTTAAAAGAGATATGTGATTAGGTATTTTTGTCATGACAGGAGTCTAGAGCAAATGCTACATGGTGGAGTGGACCTGGGGGAGGGTTTGTAAAACAGTGAAAGAATTTGTCTTTTACTTTTCCAAGAGGGTGGTGTACTGGGGGAGGGTTGGGAGGGAAGAAAAGTGCAACAATGAATGAATGTAAATTAAAAAAAAAAAGGGGGTCCTTTAAAAGTTTGGTGGCATGAAATGGAGAAACATGGATAATTTAGTCAGAGTAGAACTGATAGACCTTCTCAACCAAATGGATGTAAAGGCCCAGAGGAGGAGTCAGAAATAGGAGAGGTTTTGAGAAAGTAGTACAAAACACATGACAGAAAAACTCAGGAAAATAAAATTTAGGAAGTATTTCACTATGGTGTATTAAACTTTAGATGTTCTTAGCTTATCTGAACAGAAATGGTCATCAATTAACTGAGACTGTGAGAACTCAAATTGGGAGAACAAAGATACGTGAAACCAGAGGTGGTGTGAACAGAACAGTAGAGAAAATCTGGTCAGGAGTTTCAAGAAAGAGTATAAACAATACTGTCACTTATTTGCAAATTGCCATGGTAGAGTCCTGAGTAAAAGCTGTAAAATTTTATGGGCAAACCTCTAATGACCTTTGAGAACTTCAGCACAGTTGCATCATAATTCAGAGTGTCAGGGCCAAGACATAAATGGGAAGGAAATAAAAGCAATAAGGAGAGCCAGCATTCTGAAGATGTTCACAATGAAAGGAAGGAAAGAGGTGAGTAGTAGTATGACCATGAGATATTATTTTTTAGTTTGGGAAATTTGTATGTTAATAAGCCAAAAGTAACATGTACAGAGAAAGAAAGTGAAGATACAAGAAGAATAGACTGCTATAAATGAAAGGTCTCTGAGGAGACAGAGTGAAGGAAAGTGCAAAAAAGTGTGGAAAAAGTACAGGCTATGCCTACATGATGATAATGGGAGCCATGAACAAATACTAGAATTCAGGAAAGAAACCAGATGCTTACTTCTGTGTGTCTTTCTGTCTTATAGGTGGAAAACTCCAATTCATCGTTCAGGGTTGTGAGAACATGTGCCCATCTATGAACCTCTTCTCCCATGGAACCAGGATGCAAATAATATGCTGTCGGAATCAATCCTTCTGCAACAAGATCTAAAATCCTGTACCCTTTCCTCCCTTTCTCATATCTCACTTAATAAAGTAGATGCATTTTGAAAAATTCCAAATTGGTCAAAGTGAGAGGTACCTAGGGTAGACACAACAATGAGATATGAAAAGTAGGTTAACTTTTGACAGGGATAAAACAAATGCTTTTCTCTATCTCCAATTTTTCCTCCTCCTGTCTATCAAATATTCAACATTTCACCCTTCTTTTGGCTCTGAAAAGTTTTCAGTCCACTACTTGACATAATTAAAATATTATAATTCCGTATATATTTCCTTTCTATGTAAGTAACATTTCATAACTCTTCATTTTTTTCACACTTATTAAGTGATCTGCTCAGCAGAAGAGACAGGAAGGCACACTTTAACAGTTCTTATATTAATGTTACATTCTTTAAGCTGTCTTCACATGTATGAGTGATCTCATCTAATTCTCAGAAAATAGTTTAAAAGTGTAGATGGCTTATTTGTTTATACTCTACAGAGTTACAAACTTGCCTTGGTTGCAGAGCTATGTGAGAGCCATGGCTATATTTATAAATGGGATCTGCATTATTTCAGTCTTAGCTGTTTTTATTATATAATGGACAATAGTCAGGATTATTCTTTCAAGATGAAATCAATAGTTTCCCACTGTATAAGATAATACCTTTTTAGCCATAGCTGCTATCTGAAGACATATACTTCTATTTGAAGACTCCTGTTAAGTACAGATGGCCCTAACTGGTTTTTTTGCAGAAATCTCATTTAGAGCTTTAAAAAAAATTTTTCTATACAGGGTTTTTGGTATTCTAATTCTTGGAACTCTATAATCTTATAATATTTTTAATACTTCTTGCAAATTCCTATCTTTAAATATTTCAGAGAATTTCTGTTTGCCTTTATGGGTGCTGACACACAGTATGCAGTCAGTTATGTTGAACGTAACTGAATGCCAAGTTCTGAGAGGTTCAAATACAAGGCAGAGATGCTGTTTGTGATAAAAGTGTCTGAAGAGTTGCAAACAATGAAATTTGTCATCAGGATCAACATCATTAAGTTTTTTCAAAAATTCTAGTTCTTTTAAACCATTCCTGGTTGGCTCTGGCATTATCTCTGGCTCATACATTACTGAATATTCCTTGACCCGTGTAGCTATAAACATTGTAATATTTATTGAGGACTTCACCTATGTTCACACAGTAATAGCCTTCTGCATCAGTCCAGTTGTCCCTGAGGTTAGGATTCTCTTTGAAATATTTTCCAATGCCAGCAGCCTGAAGACAAGCACTATCAAAGTATGGAGCAAATATGTCATCAGATTCTGTAAACATATCAGGTGCCAGCAGCTTTGTCTGAGATGACCCATTATTTTGTTCAACTGTCATGAGATTATGCTTGGCTTTTACTGAGGCTTCAAATGTATCAAAATTCTCTTGTCCATACTCTTTGACTTCAGCTACACATTCCAAGACATCATCTGGGGAAGGGGATCATGTACGAGTACTGTTCTGAGGGCTACTCAGTTCAGATTGCACAAATTGCAAGCTATTTATATTTTTGAACAATTGCCTGTCTTCACGTTCTTCTCTGTTCCATAAGGGCTTCTTCATCTTCTTCTTCTACATCAAAGTCTTTAAGGTTATCATCAGATGAAGATTCTTGCTCAATCCTCATTCCTTCAGAAAGACTTACCTTAAATTTTTTTTTTTTTTACTTACCTTAAATTTATTGTCTTTTCTTTTGCTTCTGCTTCTCCGTCTACAGCCACCTTGTGAACAAGATCATCTTCTCAAATGTGATCTATCCCTCCGATTTCTGTCTCTTCTTCTTGGAGATCTGCTACATCTGAATGGGGAATGGGATCTCCTAATAGGCGATCTACTGGATTTTCTTCTGGTTGGAGACCACCTATTGATTAGGTTGGCATCTTTTGATCTTTCTCATCTACTGGAGAATATCATCTCGAGGTCTTGCTCTGGGGGAAGAAAGTTGCCTCCTGTCAGGTTCTCTCCATTTTCTTTCTAATGATTGACTCCTGGCTCTTCTCCCAGGAGACAGAGTTCAAGAAGGTGATTTCCTCAGCTTAGATCTTCTACCATTTAAAAGTAGAGATCTACTACTTCTTTTTTTTTT